GCAGGCGGGGCGTGGGCTGCTCCGCGTTTCCCTGCAGCCGAGGAGGAGAAGGAGGAAGAGGAGGAGGAGGAGCAGGAGGAGGAGGAGGAGGGGGACGAGGAGGAGGAGGAGGAGCAGGAGGAGGAGGAGAAGGAGGAGGAGGCGGAGGAGGGGGCGGAGGATTTGTTGGAATATAAGGCTGCGACTGGGTGAGAAGTTGAGGGGTAGTCAGAGCGGTTGCCGTGACAGCTTGGCTGAAATCTCATACCTTGTGCGATTTGTATCCTGATGGTAGAAACTATCCATTCCCGTGCAATTCCTTCTCCAGGGTTTGCATAATATCAGAGAGAGAGATTAATGGCAGACGCAGCGGCCGCGGGCCGCGGCTGCCGCCGCTGTCGCCGCCGCACCTGGAGCTCCACAGCTGGTGTCACCTAAACACCCTCAAGATCGAGATCAATGGTTCAACTTCAACCCCGCCAGGTTCATCGCACTGTGCGCGGCATTATATGACGGTGGGGATTACAGTTGCGTGAAACCGGCGTGGACAGAGCCAATCGTGAAGGCACGAGGGAAATTATAGAGCGGCAGATTGCCGCTGGAGCCAAGACTGCCTCCAAGGTGACGCAGAAGATGACGCAGAAGATGAGCGCCTTGCTGTTCAGCAGGGTGAGCAGAAACATGTAGGTTGAAGGGTAGTCAAACAAGATGTAATGCAGGATCGATAATTTCGAGGACCACATCGACGTTCAGAAAAGCATTGTCGGCCAAGTTACAAAGACATTGAATCAATGCTGGCGAGCAAAGGTAAACCAAGTGGAGGACATTCGACACCAGCTATCGAAAACACAGCACAACAGCATCTAAACAACGTTCGGAGGTGATTAGGTCAGGTTCAGGGAATGGAGCGTACATCTGTTACATGCTTTAGTCCAGGCCAGTCATGGCCACCCTATTTCGTTCAAGAGCTTGAGCAATAAGCTTGTGCCTAGTGGTGACATGTTAAATAATGAGGATGACGACGGCCCACGTACCCATATTGTCTGCATCAGGGCATCTGTAATCTATGAAGTGGCAGGTTTGACGGAGTCGAACCCAGAGACAATTTGAATGGGTTATGTCGGATGATGGGCTGCGGGCGTGTCTCGATATTGACCAATGGTACTTAGCAGTTAGAGTAATCCCCTTATCGTCTAAAAAGACTTTGGCCATGAGTGCGGACGAGCCTAAAAAGATCAGCGACGCCGCGACGTGGGTTGATAATCTCGCTTTTCTCGGGATCGATCTGTTGTGCTAGGAATTGTATAGAAACCGCGGAGAAGTTAACGCAGTCACAGTGGCTGTGAGGTTTACCGCCGAGGAGCTTGCCGACCTCTGCGTGGCGGTCGAAGTTTACCGCCAGCATTGCGAAGTTCCAGCTGCCGAGTTAACTAGAGGGGATGGCCGTCGACAGAGACCCTTCCTGTTGCCTTGTGCCACACCACCGTTCAGGTCGCGCCGCCGGGGGGCAGCCGCGCGATCGAGCCGCGCCCATTCGCAGCCCCGCTGCGTGACCTGCTGGTCAGGCGCACGGTGCAATGCCAGAGGATGTTGTGTGCTGGCGGGCATGTTCACCTTCCCAGGACTTACCTTTGGTTGAATCGAGGTCGCTGGCCCGCGGGTCCCAGCGCGGGCAGCGAGTTAGCCGAGCAGCGCGGAGTTGCCGGCGTCGGCTTCCCGCGTTGCCTCTGGGTGCCAGGCCGCTCGTTCTGGAAGGCGAGCGGCATGTCCGATGACGTTTGCGACAGTTCGGACACTTACGGTTGCTCGGTGGATGCAGACGCGTTCAATTCTTCCAATCAGTGCAGGACTTTTTGTGAGGCAGGTGATGCGCTTAAGTAGTGGCCAGTGTCCACGTCCATCAACGCTCCCGATGCGGTGAGGCCGCGATGGTGTCGCGCCAGTACGCCGACCAGAGATCGAGGCGCCGGGAGGTGCACTCGTTACACGAGCAGCTTTGGCACTCCCATTCGTTGTTTTATAGAACCATATAACTGAAGACGTGATACAAGACATGGGCGTTCAACAGTGTATTGCGACAGGTAAACATAGTGTTTCGCAAGTTTGGAGGTCACTGCTTGTTCATGCTCACATGCACGTCACTTTTTCATACATTGTTAGGTCAGTTCGCGATTGATGTTCTAATCGACCTTTTGGCGACCCGTCGACGGTTCGTCGGCGTGATGAGCAGGCCGTCTACCAGTTCGGGCATTTACCCAGTCTTTTACAGTTATCACCCCCCCAGCTCAACTTCCGGCCTCTCGGCAGAGGGGGATGTTAGAATCTACGATTGCGACTGGTCGAAGAGTTGAGGCGTAGTCAGGTCGGTTGCCATACACGTCTGGCTCAACCATCATGCCGTTTGCGACCCCTTTCTTGGCTGTACAAAACGTTCCGTTCCCGTGCATTTCTTTCTCCAGGAATTGCAGGAGCGAGGGGCAGGAGGAGGAGGAGGCGGAGGAGGAGGCGGAGGAGGAGGAGGCGGAGGAGGAGGAGGAGGAGGAAGACTGGAACTCCAGGTGAAAGCGCACACGGCGGAGGTCCTGGACGAGCTGCATGCGCGGCTCGACGTGACAGCCCCATTCGAGGTTCCCGTCGTCTGCTGTGCAGGCGGCGCGACGCCGCGGCTCACGCCCTCGACGCCACCGAGAAGGACATCGAGGAGGCGACGAGAAGCGGGAACTCAGCGCCGTGCAGCGCGCCAGCGGCGTCGGAGGCGCTCGAGGGGGGCGCACGGTCCGCCCGAGGGGCCGCCGAACGCCCTGGAGTTCGTGCTCCTGTCCGGGCGAGCGGACGGCGAGGCTCCCTCCTCCGACCAGATACGCTCTCGTATTCGTCGGATGAGGAAGAGGTGCCTTTACCGCTACCCTCCGCCCGTTTTGCCCTTCTTGGGCTTCCTGGAAGGCCCTTGTCGCCACCGCTGGGTTCGACTCGAGGTTCTGGTCAGAGCGCACCCCAGGAGGTCCTGGGGAGCAGCGGTATCGGTACCTTTTGGTTTCTCCAATTCTTTACGCTTCGCGTATCCCCACCAGCCCATCTCACAGCAGCAATTCTCGCGAAGCATGCCGATAGTCGTGTTTTTCAGGCGTGTGTCCGCTTGGCCCCGCATATCTCCCTTGTTCCTCCTTCCTCCCGCCTCCTTGTACATCCTCCTTGTGGGGGGAGCGGGAGAAGGACGAGGCGGAGGAGGAGGGAGAGAAAGCGCTCCTCGTGGTTTGAGTCGTTTGGGGTTTCTCGTCCTGGTGTGAGTCGTTCGGGCCCTTCTTCCTGGTGTGAGTCGTTCGGGCTCTTCGTGGTGTGAGTCGTTCGGGCTCTTCGTCCTGGTGTGAGTCGTTCGGGCTTCTCGTGGTGTGAGTTGTTCGGGCCCCTCGTCCTGGTGTGAGTCGTTCGGGCCCCTCCTCCTGGTGTGACTCGTTCGGGCTCCTCGTGGTGTGAGTCGTTCGGGGCCCTCGTCGTGGTGTGAGTCGTTCGGGCTCCTCGTGGTGTGAGTCGTTCGGGCGCCTCGTCCTGGTGTGAGTCGTTGGGGCCCCTCCTTCTGGTGTGAGTCGTTCGGGCTCTTCGTGGTGTGAGTCGTTCGGGCTCCTCGTCCTGGTGTGAGTCGTTCGGGCTCCTCGTGGGGTCTTTTGGGGGCGTCTTGGAGCCTCTTGGGGCCTCTTGGGAGTCGTTCGGGCCCCTCCTCCTGGTGTGACTCGTTCGGGCTTCCCGTGGTGTGAGGCGTTGGGGACCCCCGTCGTGGTGTGAGTCGTTCGGGCTCCTCGTGGTGTGAGTAGTTCGGGCGCCTCGTCCTGGTGTGAGTCGTTGGGGCCCTTCCTTGTTGTATGAGTCGTTCGGGCTCTTCGTGGTGAGAGTCGTTGGGGCCCCACGTCTTGGTGTGAGTCGTTCGGGTTCCTCGTGGGGCCTCTTGGGAACCTCTTGGAGCCTCGCGGGGCCTCTGGGGCGTCTCTGGGGGGCCTCTTGGGGGCCTCTTGGGAGCCTCTTGGAGCTTTTTGGGGCCTCATGGGGGCCTCTTGGGAGCCTCTTGATGACCTCTTGGGGTCTCTTGGGGGCCTCTTGGGGGCTTCTTGGAGGCCTCTACGGAGTCTCCTGGGGGCCTCTTGGGGCCATCTTGGGGCCTCCTACGACGTCCTGAGAAGCAGAAATGAGCGCTGCCCCCTAAGAAAGAGAAAATGATGCCAAAACCTTCGTAAAATCAATAATTTTGCTGTGAAGGACGATGAGCGCGGCCCCCGCAGAAGGGCAAAATGGGGCCAAAACCGTAGTAAAATCAATGTTTTTGGCTTGCAAGACGAGTGGAGGGACCAAGCTACCTCCCCCCCTCGGGAGCAGAATCCTCGTGAGGGTCGTCATTTTTTGGCCCTCCCAGGAGTCGAAAAAGACCCCTTTGATCCCACTCGGCCCGCCCTCTCCAGGTCCAGGGGCGGGGGTAGGGGGAGGGGTAAACCCATCCCCGAAGGGGAAGATTGGGGGTTAGGGGGTTGAGAACAGAGAGAGCTCTCTAAACCACTCACGCCCAAAGGGCTGGTGGGATTCGAGCTTCTGGCGCCTGCGCTGGCGGCACCTGCGGCGCCACCGTGTTTTCCCAGCTGCTCTCCAACGTTGACGCTCCGACTTCGACGAGGCTCGGCCCGAGATGCTGGAAGAGAAGGGGCTGGAGGAGCCGGAAGCCGTCGGAGCGCCTGCTCCCGATGCTGCAGGCGGCGGTGCCGAGTTTCCCTCCGCTTGGGTGCCCCCGACCCCCCTGTGAGCAGGCGCCCTGGGGAGTTGCGGCTGGGCTGCGCGGCGGAGGTCCAGTGCCCCACGCTCGCCGCGCCATCGGTCGTGGTGGAGTGGGCGTTCGGGGCGAGGTTCGTTCTGCTTCTTGTCCTGGCCACTGTCTGCCTCCTGGGTCGGGCGGCGAAGTATGTCGGATGTGTTGTCGAGGACGCCTCCGTGGGCGAGTTGCCCGACATCTACATGCACGACGGCTTCGTGTGCGTCGTGGA